CCCCAAAACCCCAAAACCCCAAAACCCCAAAACCCCATAAAGAGACACTTGGCTGAAGGAATTAATTAATTTTAATGCAGTCTAGTCACCAAAATCAAGACTTTGAGAGTGGGAAGTTACCTTCAGAACACTTCGAACTCGTTGAAAGCACTGATATCACCTCTGAGATGATTGAATTTGCCAAATCTAGAATCATCAGAGATGATATGGCTAACAATCAGATTACTCGGGAAGACTCTGAGTGTTTTAAAGTTATCCCAGAAGAATACCTCAGAGTCAAGCTCAGCAAGGGATATCTTGAGTATATCGACAATGATCCTGTAAGAAACACCAACATTGCTAGAATTAACTATGATATTTTGGATAGGGTATCTCAAAATTCATTTTTCTAACTTCATAATAGGAAGGACTTCTCAATGACGGAATCCCGATGGTTTTCATCCATGGATATTTCGGCAATGCTTTCGAGTTCAAGCCCTACCTTGATTATTTCTCTGGCAAAATCAGGTGTATTTCTTTGTCGATTTTTGGGCTTGAGAAGCATTTTCCACACCCAGAAGATATCAATGAGGTGACACCCAAGAACTTTGTGGAAATGATTGTGGAGTTCACGACTGAAGTGCTTGGTTTCAACAGAATTATCCTTGCAGGCCATTCTCTAGGAGGAGGATTCTCTAGTATAGTTTCAAATCTTCACCCAGAACTAGTAGCAGGTGTCTGAGTTCTTGGAACTTGAAAGTTCTCTCTCAGCATTGGAATAATGGCTTTTATAAGAGGAGGCATTGGAGCGATGTACCAATATTGTGATGAAGACTGGAGTAATTTGCCTGATATCAATGATCCTGAAGTTCAAAAGGAATTTGCAAAATTTGCTATAGAAGATGTAATCGTTTTGAGTAATTTCTTTAGAGCAAAGATTTTCATATGTCGCAAGCAACTTCAAAAAGTGGCAAAGAAATCAAGTTTTCTTATACCCCTCTCAAAAATCCATATGAATCCATGGCTGGCTTTTGCTATGGTAGAGATATGATTAGAACATTATTTGAATCTGAGTAAGAAAGCTCATTAATAGTATAGACCGAGTGAAGTACTCACAATGTTCGCATGGGGAGAAAAAGACTTTATCACTGATCCAGAAACAATGTACAGAGATATGCATAATTTCTGAGTCGGAAAGAGAAAAGTAGTTCTTAAGTATCATTTATAGCTAAAATCAAACTCTGAATTCCTCCAGCCCCTCTCCAATGTTGACTACTTCGTCGCCACCACAGCCTTCAAAACCAGAATATTCGGATCTCAAGTCAACTACAATTCTAGATTGGCCCAGGTGCTCTCTGACTCTGAGTACCTGGTGTCAGCTCAGGCACATCACTGCTACGGCTTCTCAACAGAGCGCCACAACATGCACACAAAGAGATGGAAATACCTGACAGTGGCTCTAGAAGAGTACTACAAAGACATATGCATGGTGGAGCAACTAAAGGGTCCTTACAAAGCCAAACTTTAGAAAAACTAAAATCTCAAAATTTTAAAGTTTATGACGTTCAACATTCGCAATTTTATCTGGGGTTTTGGGGTTTTGGGGTTTTGGGGTTTTGGGG